CATTGTCTTTCTCTTTGACGTACTCCTCCTACACTTTTGTGTGTCTCTCGCTGCGCCTCTTTGTCCTGCTTGTGATCCTCGCGCTGACACCTTACAGCTGCTGCTGCTGATGGCTTGCCTGTGTTCTCAATTGGTACAGCGGAAGCAGCTTTGGGAGGAGCAGCAAACTCCGCAGCAGGAGCGACTGCCACTGCAGGCGCAGCAGCAGCAGAGGCCGCCGCAGCTGCAGCAGCAGCAGCAGCAGCATCAAAGGCCCCTAGAGACGCCTGGACCTTCATGCTGTACATATGGCGCATCTTGACGAGATATTATTTAATTGACATTTTCGCTGCTGTCTTGCTTGTCATTGTTATATGGACGGCCGTTAAGGGGAAGGCAGCGAACACAAGAGTTGCTATAAAGTGGTAAGCAGGGCAAATGTGCTTTTTGTCTCAACATTTTTGTTTCTTTTCTTCAGATCTGTAACTTTCTCTTTTTCCTTCTCTTTGCTTGCTTGAATGGGCTGGCTGCATGCGTCTTTCTTTCTTCACTTGTCTTTCTCATGCCTCTGTCAACTTCCATTTCAGCACCTCTCTTTCTTCTTTTGTGGATTACCTGTCTGCTTTCTTTGCGCGCCGTTTGCAGCATATTTATCGTTTGCGTCATTTTTTCACTCACTTCAGGATTTATCTCCTCGTCTTCCTTTGTCTTTGCTGCCTCATTGTTGTTTCTTGAGTACAATAATATTTACCGTTTGCATTGTTTGCAATATCCCTTTGCCTTTTTATCTCTGATTTTCTCTTTCTTTTTAATCGTTCCATCATAGAAGCTGCGATGAGCTATTGCGCACCAGAAGGTGCGCATCAGCTCATCGCAACTTCTGCTGACACGGTGGCTGCTGCCACTGCTGCGGCTGCTGTTGCTTCTGCTGCTGCTTCCGCTACTTCTGCCGCTCCCACTGCTGGTGCTACTGCGCTTGCGGCTGCTCCCGGCGCATTCACTGCTGCTGCAGCTGCTGCCGTTGACGTTGCCACAACTACTGCTGCTGCTCCTGCGGTTGCTTCCGGTGCAGCCGCTGCTGTTATTGCCATTATTTCTGCTTCCGCCACTGCGGGTGCTGTTACTTAATTCTTCTGACTCTTATTAGGCTGCTGGTGTAAGAACTGACGCGGCTGCTGCTGTTGCTGCGGCTACAGGATGCAGGAGGTTCGGGAGGTGTTGAGCATCCAGTTTGCTGACGTCTCTAAAGAGACTAAAGGGTCATTTGCTGCTCGTTCTTACGATTGCTTTGAGCTCTTTTGCTCCGGCAGGCGCAACTGTCTATTCATGGAGGTTACACTCAATGTGCGTTGCTGCTGCTGCCCCTGCTTTTGCTACTGTTGCCGCAGTTTCATTGCGGGATCGACCTGTGCAGCGCGTGCAGCACTTGCTGCTGCGGAGAGATTGCTCCCTCTGTGGCGCTCTTGCTGCTGCTTTGGCGTGTACCTTTTGCCCCCTTTTTGAGCGAAAGCTTCATTTAAACTGATGGGTCTGGCACGGTATTTATGTCTTACATGGCGCCCCAATCGTTGTTGCTGTTGCTGTTGCTGCTGCAGTGTGTGCCGCGCCAGGATTTGTGGCGGGGTTGGCTGCTTAATGGACTTGTGGGCCGGGAAAACGACGAGATCACGCTGGAATTTTTACTGCCGAATGGAGGGGAGGGAATGATTGTTGGCTTTTGCAAAAAGGAAGACCAAAGGAGCTTCCTCGAGACACACTGGGACGTTGTCAGTTGCTCTTTTGCTGTTGCTGCTGCGGGCTGTGGCTGCACTGCTAGTGCTATTGCTGCTCTCATGCGCGTCCTGTGCTGCAGCACCTGTTGCGTGCCCTCAGCAGCAGCTACCGCAGTTCGGCACAAGTTACTGGTGCTGCAGTGGCAAAGTCTCTATGCAGCGCAGCTGCTGTGCTCGCTGATTCTCTCGATTGCATTTTTGAATTTTTGCGCTGCCTGGGGCTGCTGCTAATGCAGACGGAGTTTTGCAAGGTTCGCTTGGCAAGCCACATGAGCGCTCTAGTCCCCGAGGGTTTTTCACTTGTGTCGGACACATTGGAGGCAGCGGAGAAGCTTTTCGATTTTTCAGGAGCATCGAAACTGATGCAGCAACTGGGCCCCCGCCTCAAGTGTCTGTATACTTCAGATCTATGTACCAACACCAACCCTGCGCTCACCGCCACAATCGCCGCCATCTGCGGAACTGCTGCTGCTGCAGCAAAGAAGCCGTGAGCAGCTTTACAAGAGTAACAACCTCTTATGCTGCAGTTGATGTCGATTTCAGGCTGTGGATTCGTGTTTGCCTTTTAAAATGCATTTGAAGGAGGCAGCAACTATAGTTTCATGCAGACTGGCGGCGCCTCTGCTGCTACTGATGCGCTAATGGCAGGAAGCGTGTTCTTCGAATGAGCTACTACTTACAAGACGGCGACTCAGAGTTCGATCAAAGGTATGCATATTATTGCAGCAACAGCGGCAGCAACGGCAGTAGCGATGGCAGCGCGCTAAGTGATGCTTCAGCGTTTTTCACAGAGGTAGCAGCTGCAGCCACTGCATAAGACCAACAATAGTGGCAACGAGAACATATATTCTGCACTTTTTGGGCTTTTTTTCAGTTTGGCACTGCATCAATTCCTCCATTAACCTGCTTCCACTTCAACAGTAGCATCACTTGCTTTGTAATTTTGCATTTACTATCTACATAGTTTACCTGTTTGTGTGTATTCAGATTACCCGTGGTGTTAGCCTGCAAGCTGGTGGACATGCTGGCCACGATTCGCCTGAGTGACGCGGTAAGCTGGGCTGCGATGGGGTATGTATACACCGCGACCCCATACACCGCGACCCCATTGAAATTCTGTTCTTGATTGACCTCCCTGGCCTGTTGAGGAAATATTCTGCCAGTTTGTGCATCAGCCCTTGCAGCATCTACAGCATCAGCAGCTGCTGCAGCAGCGGCAGGAGTTTGTGGACTGTGTGTTTGGGACGGCCACAGAACCGCGAGGCGGTCCGGCGCATGCGTCTTTCCTATGAGAAGGAGCAACACAAGAATCGCAGAAAGGAGCAGGAAGAGGTAATTGGCAGAAGACACAAATAATCTTTAATCTATACTCGGAGGATGGAGTGAAGAACATATAGAGAGGCAGTGATGCAGCACAGCAGACAGCAGACACTTAGAGAAACAGAGGAGAGCATATGAAATCAGATGGACTAAGACAGACAGAGGAACACTGACGCACACCGAAAAGAAGATAAGAGAAGCAAACTGCGTAAAAGGCATGCAGAGGAAGATGTAAACAAAGTGACAGACAGAATAGGAGACAGGCAAGCAGTGATGAATGAAGACATAGGCAAACAAAGATGACCACCGAAACGGGCTCCTTAGGGGTGTCTTGAAGCTCTCCTGTGGGCCCTCATGATGCTTAAGAGAGCTTGCTCGTATTTTACTTGCTCCTCATGCTGACCGTGATGAATATTTGCTTCATGCATGCAAGTGTGCAAAAATTGATGAATGCATGCAGGAAGCAGAGAGACGGCGGCAAGATAAAAAGAAAGAACAGCAAAAAGCACTGGAGCGGCTTCCCCCCGAAGAAAGAAAGAAGGCTGAAGAGGCCCAAGAGGCGCGCGAGAGGAAGAAGAGCCAAAGGCAAGGAGTGAAAGTGAGACAACAGTTTCACGAAGAAACGGCTAATCAGGCGAACGCATGCAAAGAGTATAGGCCTTAACATGCACATGTCCTGCAGTTTGGTCGGCTTAGAACAACTGCACATGACGTGGCGAAAATAAGCGTCGGCATATTACGCGCGTCTTGCAGGGATATACGTCAACGTACAGTACATTCTTATTTATGGGCTCGGTCTATCCGTGTATGTAGCTCTGTAGATCCCACACTGATGTGTAATCATCCGTTTTTCTTACCTTGGAGCATGATTGCCTTATTCTCGTTTTTTTGGTCTGCGGCCAGATGATTCGTATGTGAAAGGAACAGCGTGGAGGTGCAGGGAGCAGAGGACCTCAGGGGAGGCTTAGGGTGTATGTGGATCTCTTCACCCAAACAATAAAATATAAGGGTACAAGAGAAGAACAAAGAAAGGATGAAACACACAGAGCATTAAAAATCCAAGAAAACAAGTCAGGCAAACTGGAAGAAGCAGAAGGAAAAGATTTGCGCTGCAGCTCTTTATTCTTCCACCTTCGTTTTTTAGTGCTGCGCGCATGCAGAGAGGCGCTGCATGCACAATGCAAGAGCTGTTAGGGATATCCTGCTCCTCTGCTCAGTACCAGGTGCTCCGTCGCCTTTTAGGAGCTAGAGGGCTGTAGAAGGGCCCCTGAGGGCCTTGGGGCTTTCTGTGCAGCTGCATTCGAGGGTCACCTGTCAGAGTACTGGAGGCGCCCTCCGCTCTCCTGTCTTTAATGTGCACTAACAACAGTTCCTATTTGTTTATTGTCTCTTATGTTTCGCGCTCGTTAGTCGCAACAACATTTTTATACTGTAATACTCATATGTGTGCTGCTTTGCACAAACCTTGCTGCACTAGTGGCTGCTTTGAAAGCTCGAGGTGAACGGATACTAGGTCAGGGAGCAGAACTGGGCAAATCGAATATTATGCAGCAGGTCAGAAAGCTGGCAGAACTGTAGCAGCAGTAGAAAATGGACCGTATTGGCTTATACAAGCCAAAGGGCGTCACTTGCTGCTGCTACCGCCGGCTCAGAGTGACTACATTACGCACTCTCTCCAGACTCACATCAATACACCCCGTCTAGGGCGCTTGAGAGCCGTAAGCGGTCTCATAAGGTCCCAATATTAGATTTTGGGGGAACACGGTTGCCCCTTAGAGGTTGGTTCTTTCTTGTTTGTGGGCCCGAAGAGGCTATTATATATATAGAAGCCTTCTTGGCTCCTTTGGGAGTGCAGTGAGGGGCCGTCCCTGAGCTACCGAGCAATAATAGGTGGCGAGGCATTTAGCCTTCAGTCGTGCTCTGTGGTGCTTACTTTTGGTTGTTCAAGAACAGTCTCTCTATGCGGGCAAATGTCTGCAGAAAGAAGAAATATATGAGAGCGTATGAGAGAAGGAGAAATGAAGGGAAGAAATAAAGAAATAACAACGACACGAGCAGCAAAAGCAACGGCAGTAGCGGCGGCAGGTGCAGCCGCAGTTTCGCCAGTGAAGCCACACGCAAAAGCAGCAGGACAAGCAACAGCAGCCACTTCTGCTGGATCAATTGTAAAAGCAGCACACCGCGTAACGGTAGAATCGTGATCGTCAACAGCAGGAGAAAGACTAGCAGCATGTTTCTCTCACCTGTGCCGTTTGGTTTTGTATTTTCTCCTTAATGAGAAAAAGAATAGAAGCGGCCAAAATCGTCTTCAAAAGCTGCAACCCGAGCCCTCTGTAAAGCCCCCCAAAGCCTTCTTGCATTAAAGCGGATACCAATACAGCCACGACTCCACCCTCAGCCTCCTGTACCACCAAAGCAGCAGCAGCAACAATAAAACCGGTGTTACCAATGAATAGGGCAGCAACAGAAATGGCAGCACCTACAATGGCAGAAGCAGCAGCGAGACACAATTCACTACCCCGGGTTGGAAGGTCAGCCAATAGCAGCAGCTGCGCATGTAAGCCATCATGGGAAGTCCTTCAGAGAAGTAACCTGTGGTTTCCTGGGTCATTTGTGTCAGCTTACCTCGTCTAGAAGGTGGGGTATGTCTCTTGCCTTTGGATTTCTTCGATAAGCGGAATGGGGCGGGGACCCTTCTTCTGAGCTGCCGCAAATGCAGAGGCCCCCGGCCTGGCATGTAGGTATGTGCAAACAACAGCAACAATAATAGATAATGAAAAGGGCACACATATACTGCCCGATAAATAGCAATAAGCAGCGTTTTTCGGAAGCAGTGATTCACACGTTTGCATTGGGCATTCATACTAGTGCATTCGTGTATAGATATAGGTATCACCCTTACTTAGTAGCATACAAATTGTATTTTCTACAATATTTCAAGGTAGACGGCGATGAATGAGGAGGCAATGCAAAGCGCAAACTCTCACCTCACTGCACTCCGAGAGACAGAAAGACGCTGGTTTTCGCATAGTCTGTGGAAAACAAACGAACCAAAATGGTGGCAGTACGAGCTCGTGAAGAGACCGGCCATGACAGATGGGGACACAAACACACGCAGACGGGTTTAGAAAAGTGAACGAATGGTCACAAAGAAGCAGACGAGGGAAAAGGAATGCACAAACACACTCAAAAATGAACAAGACACAAAGAACAACATGCTCGCAAGTGCTAAAGAGAAAAGGCAAACATACGCAGAACCACTGTCACGAATGCCGAGTCAAATTCATGAAAAATACACACAAACATGAAGCAGAGAGAGGCTGCCAAGGGGTGCACTCTTGTTGTACTCGGATGAACTATTTCTGCATGCACTCAGAGTGAAGGCTAGCATATTAAAACTGGTTTCTAACAGCATGTTTTGAACTTCCGCTCCTCAGGCAAGGCCCAAAACGTAACCTATAAACCCTGAACCCTAGTACGCACATCGTCGCAGAGGCACGCAGAGGCAGGAACAGAAGCAATCAGTTGTGCTTCAATCTCCTTGTCCAGTGCGGACTGCACAGACACTGCCCGTGGCACTGTGGTATGCTGTTGCTGCTGCAGTTGCAGGTGCTGCTCTATAGAGCCTTTTCTTTGTATCTCGTTGATGCTTGAGGGGCTTTCTTGCCGAGGATCAAGTGGAAGGTCCCCCTTGCGGCTTGGGGCAGCAGGAACATCTGTGTCTCCAGAAACCAATGCACGCCTGGAAACAGCAGCACGATTTGCAGTGGCAGAATTTGTAGAAGCAACAGCACGACTAGCAACAAGACTAGGGACACATGTAGTTAGTGAGGAAATTAGCTCAACACGAAAAGAACAAACTACAGAGATGCGCTAAGTCACTGTATAATTCCACATGCAGTAGCTTCAGCCACAGCAGTGTGGCGACAATAACACCAGCAGCAGCAACAAAAGCAGCACCAACAAAAATGAAAAAGCACTTGTGTGTTTCTCTCGTACTGCTGTTGCTGCGAGTCGTTGAAGTCGTCATGGAGGCTAGCAGAACGTTCCAGCAGGCGGGCTTGAAGTAGCACCTGAAGATAAACTTTAAAACTACTCACATCCTGGACTTTTGAGGAAACGAAAACACAGGCTATATCATAAGTTAAGTAATATGGATGCGAGAAGCAGAGACGCTGGAAAAAGCCTCAGCAAGAGCCCCAGCAGAAATATCCTCAAGTGACGTAAACACAAAGGAAGCACCCGTGCACCCAAGTGCCTTCAATGCTCATCACTTAACGTATAGTTTTCGCCACAAACATGCAGTATTCAAAGAAACTCAGTTGGAATTTCCAGATTTGCAGGCGCTGCTCCTCATCAAGGTTTTGGGCGTTAAGCTTTCTATTTAAACGTTCAGGGGTTTTCGTTTAGAAATTGGCCTTCGCAACAGTGTTCGCGGTTTCAGAAGTGCGCAGTTTAGGGTTAAAACTTAGTACTTTGGCTCGGATGTACGGGTACGTGGCGATCGTTGCAAATGCTTTAGAAACAGCACCCAAGAGAAAGCTCTGGACGCCAGTCAGAGGTGGTAGCGTTTGCTGCGCAGGATTTCACAAGGAAGCAAAAAGCAGAATTGTTCACCCTAAACCCTCCATTGCAATCCACCGTTTCCGGTGTTTGTGTTGCTGCATGGGCAGCAGCACTAGCGTCCGCTCCAGTAAGAGAAGCAACAACAATGGCATGAATAGCATCAGCAACGACATAACTGGCAGAACCATAAATGGGAATGGCAAAAGAGCAAATATGAGCAGCAGTAGCAGCAGCAGCAACAAAGTGGCCAATTCACGTGCGTTCACGCATCTTCAGCAGGCATTGTGCCTCTTCCCCTAATGCTTTGGTACGCATTCGCTGCACGACAGTAAGTAGCCGTTTGCAATTAGAGTCCGCCAAATTCAGAGCCTGGCGACCAGCATTGAGGATTTAGGACCGATAACGTATGACGCTTTTAGCGTGTGTGTCTTATGGCGTAGAGTTCATGCGTACCCCTATCCGTTCAACTGGAATATCTTCATCTGTAATTGGATCCATGACACTCCTTGCTCGCAGGAGATTGACCATTTGGAGCCAGAGCCTGCAGCGCAGCAGCAGCAGCAACACAAAAAAGAGCAACCGCAGCAGCAACACAGGCAGCAACAGCCTTTGCAACGAAAACAGCAGCACTAGACCCTACAGTGCACCCTTTTCCAAATTCCAGGCCTTGTACTGCTAGAGGGTGCGCATTTCTTTGGAGCTGACGCTAGAAATTCTGTTCCTGTTGCCAGATGAAGGTGTTGCTGCTATCGTTGATGCTTCTTGTGGTGGTGTTGTCATTGCCGTTGCTGCTCTCTGTGCCTACTTGAGGCTGTCGAAGGTAGCATTTGTGATCGCAGGATTCAAACACAGGCAGAGAGATGCCCCGAAGCCTCGGTAGAAACCAAAAGGCCCTGCGGCAACACCGCAACAGCGCCACCAACAATGGAAAAGGTAACAGCCACAGCATAAGGCTATTTGGAGCAAAAGCCGCTATAAGGGCGGAAGGAACAGATGGAAATGCAGAATCTGCAGTATCAAAGCAGCGTTAACGGTGCTTGCATCAGTACAATTGTTCTGAATAAAGGCAGGCCGCTGCATCATGAGTTAGAAGCAGCACTACCAACACTACTTTCACCATGATCTCCAGCAACCGAAACAGCAAAATCTTTCTCAGCGTATCCTGCACCAGGAGCATCTATGCAGCAGCAACAGCATTTATGTTGCAGCCGAACCTTCCGTTTTCAGAATTCGCATGAAGATAGTGCGCAGTGGCTGCCGACAAAGTTGGGCATGTGTGCTGCTGACATCCAGAGGAGCCGTCAGCAGCTGGGTCCCCAAAGCAGCAAAGACAGCCAGCAACAAAGTACCTCCCCTGATGCGGAGACCCCCAGCCTTCGCCGCACGGCTCTTCAAGGCTTGGTACCTGACATTCACATGAATGTGAAGCAGATACGTAAATATAAATATATGAGCATTCACAACACAAATAGTTACACTTTTGTATACTTAAGTCTTGCTAAAGAGCATCACATTTGTTATTATTGAAAAAGTGATGGCACGGTTATGCAATTTTGCGTATTCTGTCGGATGCATGCACACCAGTAGATACCGATACATACATACAGAACGAAGCATACAGAGGCTACGGCACAGGCAGCTTAGTATGTAGAGCTCCACGCACACAGGCTGCGTGGAAATAAACATGAGAAGAGCCGAATAAAACTAAGTGTGTCAATGTCAGCACGTATTTATACTGCCAAAAAGATGCACGCACCTTTCTTACTTCGCAGCCACAATAAGTATGTTCATCCACTCAAATATTTATGCATACATGCGTTCACATGCTCTCTGAATTGTGTGCATCTGCCTGGTATCCACTATAGGCACAAGGAGTTCATACCAGACGGTATACCCACACGTACATGGATGTTCAAATTTGAATGAAAGCTGCTACCAGAGGCAAGCTGGGCTTGAACATCTCTACAGAATGAGAGAATCGTTCTTCTACGATCAATATATAGGCCTCCACACCTACAGTACATGCCGTGCCTTCTTTTGGTATCCAAGCTCACAAATATTTTTCAGTTAAGCCACAATTTTCATCGTGGTAGGGAGTAAATTACAGCCCATATGCATCAAACCCTATGCTTTAAGGTTTTGGCTTCAGCTTACAAATAGAAATAGACAAAGTTTCTAATTATTTGCTCGGCCAGCTTAATGCCCAGACCACTGTATAGGCGGCTTATCCGGTTAATAAGTTGTCCCGCTTTGTCTTTGGAGGTGCTGCCGCTGTTGCTACTGTTGCTGCTGTTGCTGCTTTTGTTGCTGTAGGTAGAAGCGTAAGTGGTAGGGGTGGCTGTTGCTGCATCCTCCTGCTGCAACAACTCCTGCAAGACGTCAATGAGGGCCTGCAATGCGCTGCGGTGCTGGTGCTGCTGCTGCTGTAGCAGCTTGGCTGGCTGCTTAGTTGCTGCTGCCTGGTGATGTACTAGCAGCGTATCTAACGGGAAAACAATAAGGGTGGATGCGCACGCAGCCACGGCCCCGCTGGTTGCAGCCACCAGAGATTTACTCATGATGGCATACGATGGGCAACCTTTGCTGGCTTTCCCCCTGTTTTTGCTGCCTCTGCTGCAGCTGCCGCTACTGCAGCGGCCGTTACTAATGTTTGTGTTTCTGTATTATTTCAATTGCAACATGAACCGCTGCGCATGGGCAGCTGCTGCTGCTGCTGCTGCTGCTGTTGCCTTCGCTGCCGCTGTTGCTCCTATCGCAGCTGTTGCTGCCGTTGCACTGAGTTTTATTTATACTGCGAATGCTGATGCTGCTTCCTTTGCAGCTTTTGCTGCTGTTACGGATTATGTTAGCTAAGCAGCCACCGCCAGTGCCGTTGCTGTATGCATGCCCTGTACTTCTGCTGTCGCTGCCGCTGTTGGTTTTCTGCATGCAGCAAGAATTACGCAGTACCCTGCAGCCCATATCCACAGGAACACAAAGAGCACCGGAGAGAGCAAAAAAATAGAAGACCAGTGCCAGGGAGCAGTTGTGCTGGAGGCTCATGAATAAATGAGTGTGTATTGCTACAATGTGTTTCTTCACTTTCTCGAAAGCATTCTGAAGGTAACTGGCACTTTTTTCCTTTTTGTCCATTCACTGTCTTGGAGCAACGTCTTCGGCTTTGCAGTTTGTGTGATTGGCGAAGCGCGGTCTGCGTGCATTGTAAGCTCACTTGCTCTGTTTGCACAAGAAACCTGCTTCATCTGCGGAAATGGCACGCCTGTAGCTGCGAGCAGCAGCTTTTCACACCTCCATGTTCGCGTGCTGGTGCGCATATGGTCACGTCCTGGTAATTTTATGAGTATGTATAGAGGGGTAAGTGTTTTAATAAGCAGAAGGGAAAATCCCAAGTTTGCTTGGAGCCTCCTGTCTTGCTTGTGGGGCCCCTAGCTTGGCAGCTAAAATGAGGCAAAGGAGGTACACAGCTCTGCGGTGCCAAGGTTTTCAACAAGAAGAGAGCAAAACTGCTGCTGCGTGGGCCGAAGTTGCTGCTGAATCCCTTCTGCTCAGGCCGCTGCAGCTGGGCGTGCTCCAACAGAAAAGACGGTGAAAAGTCGTTGAAATAAGTGAATTTTCCCTTAAATCAAAATTTATTCGCACTTTAAAACTTTATTTTGCCTTATAAATGCGTTTTCTGAATTTTCGAGCTTTCTTGGGATAATTTTGCACAGGTCACCTCGTTTGCCAGCAGCCAGCTGGTGGTCACTGGGCAGCCCATTGCTCTCCTTGAAAGTTAGAGGCCCTTTACGCAGTATGAGCCACTTATGAGTAATAACACAACCTGAATTGGCAGCTACTCTGTCGGGCTCATATGTTTTTACTTTTCGAGTATTCTTTTTGGTTCTTTGCGGAGACCCGAGGAACAGAGCTCTAGCGGTCACCACTACACATCCCAATGAGTTTATCTTCGCGTGCGATCGCTGTGACGCCTAAAGCGAATAAGAGATCAAGAAAAACAGCCCAAAATTTATAACTGCATCTTTCAGTCTGCTGTTATGGAAATGAAACGAACACTGTAAATCATCATCCAGGCGTTCGGTCACACATATCCTTCTGCGCCGCACACTGCGCGCCATGTGCTAAGGGTCCACTTTCTCGAATCAAGTAGTTTCAGAGTAAACGGGATATTTGCACCACGGAACAACTCTGCACCAACGCGCCTCTCTGTTTCTCTTTCCACTAAAGAGCTAATAACACTCTGAAGTTACACACACTTTCGCAGCTTCCTACGCTGCACAGTCAATTTTGTGGCTAGAGCTTGGCAGTCTGTAAGTCTTCAGTGAGGTCGCCGAAGAGCTGAGCAGCGAGGCTCGTAGGTGAGGTGAGACATGTGCTGCCAACCAAGAAGGGTCCCATCTGGGAGCTGCTTTGAGCGTAACTTGGTACGTCATTGTTGGACCCTCCTTGACATTTCTCATGCGCGTCACTTAGAGCTGTGAATGCCTGCAGCTCTTTGGGTGCGAGCCCTCCCAAGACAAAGGTAACAACGGAGCGACTTGGGACTCTTTTCGGGGTCTCCTTTTGCCTCCAAGAGGCTCCTGCTCGCCCCTTCGCTGCGCCCCACAAAAAGTTGACCGTGCTGTAAGCAGAACACAACAGTTTTATAGAACCAAAGCTAACTAAAAAGGGAAACTAACCTGTTTAGTCAGACGTTGCTTGTGCAAGCCCGGAAAGCAATCGGCAGTTCACTGTATATGCGTCGGAAAAAATTGGAAATGTAGCTGTACAAGATTATGGCATACCATGTGCTAATTCATTCAAGTATGTTTTATACCACTCGCCGTCTTGGTATGTCATGCGACATTTTATGTTCGTCTCATTACACCATAGTTCGCGCAACTGAAGTATACTATATTGTTTTGCGCCCAACGAAGTTAGTTATGTCGTGCTACGTTCACAATCCTCTTTGCGCCGCATTAGACTAGTGCTATTCGGCTTTTGAAGTTCAGACTCACACCACAATGGCAAGTCAAACTACATCTGCGGCGAATCATATTACACCATGTTTACAACAACTTTAAATTTCTAGATTGAGGCCAGTATGGAGTCCAGTTTGCTCACCTCAAGCCTTTCTTTATGAAATCTTCGAGAAGAGGTCCCTGAGCTGGAGGTGCCTCTGAAAAAGAAGAAGCATCTTCACTTCCTCCCAGTGAGCGCGCCAAAGACAACAGCCAGCAGTTGCCCTGGGGGCCCTCAGAGTTCCCTTGGAGGGCATCACGGGTCGCTGGCAAGCCTTCGAAGGACCCTTGTTCGTCCCCAGAGGATCCCCCAAGAGCTCCAAAGGATCCATGAGGCTTTTGAAAAGGCCCTCGTGAGAGTATAACAGCGTCGCAGCGTTCAGAATCAAGAGAAGGAAGTGCCGGCAGCATGCTAAACGCCAAAGCAGAAAAAGAATGCAAGAATGACCTTGGAGTTGCAAAGGATCCTCAGGAAAAAGGAAAGAGCAGGTAGTTGTATAGATAGGTGCCCTTACCGACTATTTCTGAGGGACGAGCGCGACTGTTGAATGCACCACAGCCGGCGAGCGATGGCCTTCGCTTTGCTGCTACTGCCCTTGCTGCTGGTGTTGTTGTTCATGCTATTACTAGACAGGCTACTATTTAATACTTCTCTCAGTAGGCACTCCCAGCATTTGCAGCAGCTCGCGCTGTTGCTGCTGCTACTGCTCTCGCCATTGCTGCTGCTGTGTTGCCGGCAGCAGGAAGACACCAGCGGAGCGTCAGGGCCCTACAAGAAAGACGGCAGAGTCTCCATGTAGTTTCGACGGAGATTCAGGTAGAGCTAGCGGCCTTTGAATTCTATTTACCGTTCAACACGGCGGACAAACAAGGAAAGAAGACATGCAGTACTCACGCTAGGCAAAGGCATGCAAGGTCACGAAAAGAAAGACAAAACATGAGGCGAAAAAAGAAATAAGGGAAAAGAAGAATCGTGCACAGGGACAGAAAACGAAAGAGACACGGGTACTGATATGAGGAAAGACAAATACGAAGAAAATGAAAAAACTTACGGCCTGTGACGCTCGCGCTGCAGCGATGAGGAGGGACAAGTTCAGCGACTCGACAGAAACTGCAAAAACAAAAATTACACATAGGGCAGAAACCTAAATCAACATAGGGGTAAACAAGACGCCAGATATAAAGGAAAAGGTGCATGCGTCTGCCTGGGTTCTCTTGCATGCGTATGCATGCAAAAGAACGCAAGCAGCCCTATGGAAAGCACAGGCGAATCAAACATAAGGCAACGTCAAAACTGTGAAAATTGTGACAATGAAAATCGAATAGGTGGGGAACAGTCTTAGGGGGTAAACATAGAGGCAGAAACGAGACACACCAGAGCCTGAAGAATCCCGCTTTATTGCTCTCTGAAGCTGCGGCCAGCAGCGACAAACAAACACACAGATAACGAGCAGAAAACCGGATGAACAAAAAGACGTAAAGTGCAAAGGATAAACATACAAAAAGAGAAAAAAAGCTTGCTTAGCAACAGCACTGGGGAGAAACGAATGCACACCGCAAAGCGCGGGAGACGAAACAAGGCAGAAAATACAGAGGTAACGGATGATACGAAGCGACAGGCAGATGCAGGACGGGAAACCAAGGCACAAGGCAAGGCCCGTGCAGCACAATATGGAGCGACGGAAAGATATATGGAGCATGAGAAAAAGTGACACGGAGGGACAGCATGGCACACAGATTCGGCTTACATTGGTCAAGGTATCGCCAGCAAGTAGAGAAGGAAGGAGCACATGTTCGATAAACTCCAGTAGCGGCCACAAAGATACACGATGCTGCAGGAGAAGCAGCAGCAATCACAGAAACAGCAGCACAGCAAGCAGCAGTGACAATGGCAGGTGTGGTGCGGAAGCTCATCTACAGGAAATTGGTGACGCGGGGCAGCAGCAACACGAACAAGAACAACGTCGTTGCACCAACGGCGACAGGAACTGAAAAACACCTGAAGAGCCAATATGCTATTCCCCCATTTGATGTCAGCGTCTCGTGTCTGCTGGAGCAACTGCAGAAGCCGCAGCAGCGTCGCGTTCCTACACTCCTGGGAGCTGCTGCCTTCCTGCAGCAGCGTGCGCAAAGCACTTTGTATGCGGATGAGCAGCGCCAAAAAGAGGCGAAGCAAGATAAGACAAAAAGGAGGCAAACAAAAAGCAAGCGACTGAAACTCAAAAAGACATGCAGTTAGTAAAAACATAAAAACGGACAAGTGGCGGACAGACACAGGGAGGAAAAAGCACGCAGAAAAAAGTAGGGGAAGTTGCAGAACAGGCAGGTAAAGAATGAGTAAATCTACTGGCGCTTGAAAGCGCCAGTGCATTTGCTCATTTTACGAAGGAAAAACTGTAGGAAACACAAACGAAACAGACAAATTGATGAAGGAACCAGCGGACGAATTCCGAAGTTGGCTAGAAGTAGAAGCAAGGAAGACAACAGACAGAAAAAGACACAGGATAATGGTCAGGATAAACACGCATGAGGCATAAAAAATCACAGTTGGTTACCTCCAGCTTCGGATAATCTTCTCCACTTTGGTCAATGCAAAATGCCGCTGAAATGGCCCCCATGAGATGACGCCACGCGACAGCATCATGTGGAGCAGCAGCAACGGCAGCGGTAACTAGACTGAACAAACAGCAGGCAGCACATGGTTGTTCCGAAGTCCTAGAGGTTAAGACTGACAAACCCTAGGGTGCAGATAAGGGTTTAGGGTCTAGGGTGTAGAACGGCACCTACGCCTGCCATGCAGGCTCGGGCCCGTGGAGAAGCTGCAAAAGTGCTCCACCCTCGATGTATTCGGCAGCGCGAGCCTCCATTTCTTGTTGCTGCTGTTGTTTTTGATTGAACCTATTCTTTTGCCGCGTTTCGGTGGTGTCTAGACAGGAGTCGAGATTGGGTGATGATCCGCAATTCAACAAACGCCGGATCAAGGCAAAATCCGAGAAAACCTGACAAATCAACGCATTGAGGCCTAGATCAAGTGTTGAAGCAGCTACTGCTGCTGCAGGTGCAGCGGATAATATTGGTGTTGCTGCTGCTGCTGCTTGCTCTGCCGGTGCTTGGTTCTACCTTGCTGTTGGTGAATCTGCTAGGCGCTGCTGGTGTTCCTCTTGGTTCGGCTAGTGGTAGTGGTGCTGCAAACGGCGCTGTCGTTCCCGCTATTACTGCTCTTGTAAATTTTCGAAGAGCCCCTTGGAGTTACAATACGCTCTAAGGGGGTCTCAAGTTACTGTGTACGGCCGTCTCACGCCTGTGGAGTCAATGAGTTGACTTGGGACCGCAGAGGGGTCAACTGTCTGCGGTTGCTGTGGCTGCTCTTGTCGTTTATGGTGCTGCTGCAGCCCCTTAAGCTGCTGTAGAGTCCATTCACCCCCATCCGATGGAGCTGAAGGTGACAGGAGGCTGCCAGGGGCCAAAGGGGACTGCAGGTCCTGTAGCTGCAAAGAGCGGAGGCAACAGCAAGTTCGGCAGCAGCAGCAGTAGTAGCTGGTCCAACATAACGCCGAAGCGCCGTAAAAAAGTGACTCAAATGCCATGCTGCTGTTGTTGGTGTTGCTTTGAAAGCTGCCGCTCCTGCTGCTACGGCAGACGCGTCATACCCTGTCCACAATTAGCAGCAGCACCTCCCTCTCTCGTTCAGCACGTAAATCTCCAGCAGCAGCAGCCGCAGCAGACGATGCTCCTTTCGGCTTCGGAGGAATCCTTTCGGCCACAGCACGTCCCAATAGCCGCGCAGCCGCGCCGCAGCAGTGGACAGCAGCAGCGGAGCAGCCCCAAGCAGAGCAACACTCTGCTAGTCGGCTGGCCAACCGGCTGTAAGCTTCCTTCACGCAGCAGGGATAACGGCAGCATCGAGAGCACCAATCTAAAGGCAGAACCAGTTTTAATGACGCGGCAGAAGGAGCAAAGGCTGCAACAGCAGCAGGGGCAAAAATGCGGCAGCGTTCACTGCGGCAGTGGCACCATGAAGATAAGCAGCGACTGTAAAGACTTACTCTGTGCCGCAGGGGGAGGCTAGCGAGGGAAATGTCATCCAGCTGTACGTCCGCGTCTAGACCTGCGGTTGCTGCTGCAGCTGTAGGCTGACGCTGCAGCAGGCTTTCTTCTGCTGCTGCTTCTGAAAGCAGGCGCCGCACTGAATCCGGGCATATTATGGGGACCTCAGATGATCCTGCAAGTGAAAGTAGCAGCAGGAAGAGCAGCCACAACAGTAATAGTGCAGCTGTTGCACCAGTTCTCTAAATACCGCCCTATATCAGTCGCCTGCTGCTAGATGTTGCTCTGAGTTTCCTGCAGAAGCCTTTGCGCGCCTGATGCCACTAGGTGGTACGAGAATGCCCTCCTGTTTATCGTTAAATTTTATCTATATTTTCCTCGTTCACTTTTGCTTCGCCATTTATGCTCTCTGTCAGTTCTTCGCTGTCTGTCTTTGTCTGTTCATCTTGGTCTATCCTCCTACTTTGCCCACCAGTCAGCAGGAAGCATCTCTGAGTGAGAAACGTTGCATGAAATGGGGTGTGCAGCACCTCCACTTCGAGTGGCCCCTGCCACTTGGGCGCCCCCGACGGCCCATCTAACGTTGGCTGCAGCCCTTCTCGTTGCCTGCGCAAAGTTGCAGCCAAACGCTGGACAGACATTCCAGCTTGTTGCTGCATGCAACAGGCGTGCCAACGATGCTGCTCCTCCTGAAACGACAAAAAGGACCAGTTGAAGCACAAAATCAGGATAAATATCGGCAAATATTTGCACAAATACTTGAAGATCATACACGAGTTGGCCAGTAAAAAATGTCACACGAAATTATGCAGCCAAGCCAGTGCAGCATCACATTACAACAAGGGCTATGGGGAGAGCCGTTCAAAAATCCCTAGCGGGTTCAGAAGACCCAGAGAGATTCGGAAACCAAGTATGATTCCCCATGGATCTGCCATAACCGCAGCTTCACAAAAGCAGCTACGGGAAAGCTTGCTCAGGCGTAGGCCCCTAGAGGACCCTGTAACCTTTTAATGACCACTAAACCACATTTGTACTTCGGGGCCTCGCACGGCCATATGTTACTGCATGTGGTCCTGCGAGGCCCCGAAGTTAAAATGTAGTATTTGGTGTTTGGACGAACCGAAAAGAAAGAACAAATTGTCAAGCGGCGGAGAGAAGGCAGCAGACGAACGAAGGAAATCAGGTAAGGCGTCGCCTCCTCGATGAAGGCAGAGATGAAGACACAAGCAGTTTCAGCTCCAGGAAATACTGCCTGGCCCTGTTTCTGCTGCTCCTTCTGGCTTTGAGAATGGTCAGCCCTTAGTTGCTTCGTCATCTGTCGCCTTTCAAGATCTTTGAAATCCTCCAGCGCGCAGAGCCGTGGGAGAAGGCCCCATCTCCCAGGGGATGGTCCTTGCTGCTGCGATTGGCGCTGTTGCTGCATGCTCAATCGGGAGGAGACAGCGCCCCAACTGCCAGCATCTGCTGCTATAATGTCTACAGTTTCGAGCAGCAATGAAGTCTGGCGCACAATCGCTGTGTCCTCAAGGTCCCCCAAGGGACCCCGTGCTCCGGGGCCCCCAGGGACCCTCGTCATATCTTCGTAGAATGAGAAAGGCCTTGACACAAAAAATAAACTTTGGCTTCTATAGATTTAGGAAGTCCCTCCTGTGGCTGTGTTTTGTCCTTTGTCTACTATTGCTGTTTCGTTTGCAGATGCCGCTACTGGTGTTGCTGGTGCTGCTTCTTCTGCTCCTGCCGCAGTAGCTGCTGCTAGCTTCGATGTTGTAAAACTGGCTATTGCAGAAGATTCCACAGCGTGTGTTTTCACTGCTGCTGCGTTCACCGCATGCTATGGTGCTCCTTAGTCTTGCCTTCCCTGCAACAGCAACAGCGACAGTCAATCCGACCATGAAGCCCGCAGCTTTAAGTTTACACTATGTTCCCTTCAGTTGATTTTTGGCGGATAAAGTTATAAATTAGGCGAAAGAGAGGGAGACCTACCGTTTGTCTCAACGGTCAGGCGGCTGTCGGCCGTGGGGGCCCTAACTGGGGCCCCCCAACGGAGACTTAGTCCTGGGTAGAAGCTTCAAATGAAATCCTACTTTGAGCTCCGTTTGGTTTTTTAATTGGAAAGATGTTGATCTCATTCTGATTTCATGTTGAAGCTGGAAGATAGCCGCAGATTTAGGGCTCATTGACCCTGCAGTCCTCGTCTGTGAAGACGCAGCCTGCACTCTCAGAGTGAGGATCTAGAGTTTGCGATCCACAGCTTAGGATATATGACTGCTTATGAGACCCCCATATCTTTATCTCTTTTAGTTTTTTTGCCTCGCAGTATCCACCCATTTCAGCACGAATCCCACCACGACGGCAACTTGGCAACTGGGAAGAGGAGCCGCGGTCATTTTTGATGCAGCTACAGAAGCAACAGCAGCTGCTGCTGCTGAGGCAGCCAGAGCTAAATCATTTCCCAATTTGCAGATCTTTGGATCTCTGCTGGATCAGGGGCCGGGAAAAGAAAATTGAACTTGTTGAAAGAGGCCGCTATCCCCCAAGGAGCTCCCATCACTCTTCATCCGGCAGGTTTCTGCGTCTCAGACGTAAAAGCATTGTACTGGCATCTTTGTTCCTTTTCCTTTTGGCTGCCACGCTGTGCATATCCCTGACCAGGAAGTTAGTACCTAGGACACAATCTCTGCTGCGGCAAAAAAGCAGTAGCAGCAAAAATATTGGTACTGACTCCAACAGCAACGGGGGCAGCAACGGCATTGTACACAGGAATATCAACCAGAAGATAGAAAGGAATGCAAGCAGCAGCAGTGGCCAGGGTAACATGGAGGAGGCCGAAGCTTGTGAAGCAGCACGTTCTTTTGTGCTGCATTGGCTCCTGCAGCAGAGTGAGGGGTCTCCTCGGGAAGCCCCTTTAGATTTCGCACCCATTTCATTTCACCTCTCTGGATTCCCTCTGTGTCTGCGAGCTAGACAGGTACTGAATTGTACAATGCATTTGTTTACAGCTTCGATAGTACACCAGTCGGACGCCAATCGGCCAGTTGCTCACTCATTGTGACTCTTTGCCTATTCATTTGTTGCTTTCGACTGATCCCGGTTTTTTATGTTTAGTTTCAGTGTTTTGTGGGCATATCTATCACTACTTAAGTACACTACACAATTCAGTACCGGAGACAGATACGTTCAAGAATTCACTTGTGAACACAGCGGATATGAAGCATCGTTTTTTCTTTGGTACACCTTTAATTCTGTCTAGAACTGGTCAGGTATACTGTAACACCCTAGACTGTAGCAGCCAGAAGTACTAGCGGCCGTTGCTGCTGCTGCTGTTATCAGTTGCCGCTGCTGCCTCCATTGTTGCTGCTGCTGCGTTTATAATTGTAAGCTTGGATCATCTTAGTCTGCGTACATGCACACCAACTGAAGTCTATGCATACTTTTCCCACTACGCTACCATCTTTGTATGGTAGCGTAGTGGGAAAAGTATGCATAGACTTCAGTTGGTGTGCATGTACGCAGACTCTCCAACACGTGTGCTTCCGTGCATGTTGTCATTCTAAAATGAATTTCATGTTTTGTGCATACTACGCATCCTGCACTTTGTTCCCATTTCTCCATTGCACTGTATAGAATCGAGATGGAAACAGACGGAAAGCTTATGTTCAGATAAGTAGTATAGTCAGGATAATCAGGCAGAGTAAGTTGTGGATCATTAGTATTAGTTCCAATTTCATGGGCTACTGTAAGCATTTCACACTTAATTCTTTATGGTATGCGGCAGTTAGAACAGTCCAACTTTGTACTGGCTTTTACCTTCGGCACAGTGTTCATTGTATCCACTGAAAAGTCCATAGCAACTGAGAACGGCAGCTGCTGTTGATGCTGCAGTGTTCTTCAGTGCACAGCCACAGCGAAGGAACGCAGTAGTCGTTGCTGGTGCAGTGTTCCTGCAGAGCCCTGGCGCCGGTGACTGCCTCTTCGTCTCTGTCGCCGCCGCCTTGTGGCAAGATTCATTTGGATACCATCCGTCTTTCTCAGATGAGCACCTCCAAGAAGCCGCGATAAGCCTCAGACAGGTCAGGCGGCCGGCGGGATCTTCTGCGGGCTACTATTTGCGGGCCCGTCTCTGATGGGAGCCCGGTCGGGAGCTTCTTTACTGCATTTCTGTCTACACATTCAGTAGTTGAACTATTATACCTAGAGAGGCATTGCATGAAGTGTAGCACGTGACACAAGCATACCACTGCTGCTTCACCTATTGCTGCCGCTGCTGCTGTTGCGTCTGCGGCGTTGATACAGCTGGCTGTCAATACGTTGCAAGACCCGTCTGTGGAGGAATTTGTAATGGAGGGCGCCGAGAAGGTTGGGCGGGAGGAGCTGTTGCAGCTGGCATCGCTGCAGTACAACTGCTCAGCGCAGGAGTACTGCAGACGCATGCGTATGCAAACCACCTGGGGTGGAGGCCCCGAGATTCTGGCACTGGCTCACGCCCTCCGCCGCCCAATAGCCGTCTATACACTTCAAACTAGAGGAGCACTGCGGCGAACCAGCCGTCGCGGTGCAGCTACAGACACGCTCCAACAAAGGCAGCAGCAAACCATTCTAGCTCTGCTTCAGCAGCAGCAGCAGCAGCAGGAGCCGCTGCAGCAGCAGCTGCTCCATGAGGTCCAGCTGCATCTCTGCAAAGTATTCGGCTGGACGGAAGGCTGCAAAGTGGGGCCTCTGCATCTCCTTTTTACAAACGCACAGGGGCTGAAGGGAAGCCGGCCGGAAGGCGAAGCTAACCACTTTGCCCCGCTGTTCCCCGTTTCCGGCTAACTAAGAGATGCTACACCTTGCTGAGATGAAGAACCTCATCAAAATACTATAGCGTTTCCGAATCGAAAGTGTGGCTCTGCTGCTGTTGGTATTCTGCTGGTCTGCTGCTGCGGCTGCTGCAACTCTATGTACAGGAGCCAAACAGAGATGGCAGCCAGTAAGCCGTAGCAGTTTTATTGTCTTTGGACGTCAAAGCTGCAGTCGCCAAATGTGCTCACATCTAAGGAACAAATGACCATTTGCTGCCACCCAAGATTTTTTTACCCGTCGCTTTCCTATACAGGGCTTTCAGTGCTCTTATCACACTGGAAAACGAGCTGAGGTCGAACCAACACCTAGAGGTCAATACGCACCACATCAAATCCACCAAGGTCAGGCCTAAAGACCTACAAAGCGGGCGCCCTATTTGGGCGACCCAGCTGCAAACCCAAACGCTGACAATGCATTGCTGAACTGGAAAGCAAAGGGTCCCGCGGGTCCCTCAACAGGAGCGGGACCTTTGCGATATCCCTTTCGGCGCCTCTTCCCCGTTCAGACTTTTTTACTCTTTTTGCTTTTCTGCATCTGTGCGCTGCAGCAGAGCAGTTAGGATCCCGCCTGCGTGCGCTCTTGTAGAGACAGCTCCTTCACAGGCAGCAAAAATCGGGGGGCCGCAAGTCTCTCAGATCGAGCATTTAGTAGGAGCCTTTGACACTGCTGGCGGAAGCTCACAGCCACGTAGGATATTTCCAAAAGTGCAAAAAGCTGATGAGGAATATACAGATCTGGCATATTCAGTGTGTTCATCTCCCGTATCTTTCTGTGCTATTTCCAAGCACTCTAGAAATCCACTTCAAACTGGCAAGAGCCGAAGCTGCACTCGCTAGACTTCTGCTGCAGACTCCTGTGCCTCCCCTTCGCTAGGCGGCCGCCTGCTGCTGGGCCGTCGTTGCCGTGGCTGGTGGGAAGTCTCACAGGCGGCGTTGCTCTTCCCTGCGGAGTCTCCGAAGCCTCCAGCTTTTTTACGCTGATGCGTTTGTGAAGGTACAAAAGAAAAAGGCTTACTGCGTCTGCAACACATACCTGCAACAAATACAAGGCCCTTATTTGGGCTGAGTCTAAGCTTGAGATTTCCGGCGCCGGTGCTGCTGCTGCTGCAGTCATCGCCGCACTGAGGTTACAGGCATTTGCTTCTGCTGCAGCGCCATTTGCCTGGCCTTCCTGCCTCCTTTTTTGCTGCTTCTGAGGCTGCTCCGCTGCTCGCTGAACCCTGTGAGTCCCCTTGGGCACCGCTTTAGTCGCTGGCAGTCTCTTATTAGCTGCTGCTGTCTCGTGCCACTGTGCTGTGCGTTTCGCCGGCGGCGGCGGCGAGGCTGCAGCAGCAGACGATTCATACGGAAGACGTTGGGGGCCCCAAGGTGGGTTGGCAATATGCTCCGAGGGGCTTATATCCCCTTCCGCAATTTCTAGGTCGCTTGCCAGGTCCTGTAGGGCTTGCATCTGAGCAGCGCTCACTGCATAAGAGTCAGGTGCTTCCCCATAGAAAGCGCTGGGTTGTTGTTGCTGCTGCTGCTGCTGCAGCGGAGGAGGCTGCTCGAGAGAAGAAGCCCGCTGAAAGTGCACCCCACCCGCTGAAGGCAACTGCCCGTAGCTCAGTTGGTGCTGCTGCTGCAGATACTGCTGCGGGTTACTGTTTCCTCTGCAGCTAGATACCTCTGAGTAGGCTGCTGCCGGATAAAGGCCATGAGGTGGTCCCCATTGAAGGGGATTAGCTGCTGTGCATGCAGCAGTTGGTGGCAAGGGAGCATTGCACGGTGCAGAAGACTGCACGGGATTCATTAGTTGCTCTGGTGGGGGAGCAGAGCAGTGTATCGTGGGCTTTGTTTGCATGCCTTCACCAAAGGATCCAAAGGGCTGTAGGTGTTGCTGCTGCTGCCACTGCTGTGGGTGCAGCCACTGCTGCTGCTGCGGAACTTGATGCTGCGGGTAGAGTTGGCCCTGAGTGCGCTGGCACTGCTCACGCGCGTGCGCCAGTTGACGTTTGATGAGCTCCTGAGTCTCCTCTTTAAGTTTTTCCTGTTCAAAAGCAAGCTCTCTCCTAGCGGCCTAAAAAAGCAGGTTTCGCAGTCTGTACACCAAGGACCTCCTTGCGTTGCTCCTTGCTCCAACTTACTTCTTTCAGTTCCTCGCTCGCTCGTTCTTCAGATTCAGCCTGTGCAAGGTGCTGCTCCAGGTTTTTGACCTCCTCCCTGGCCACGAAAGGAGTGTAAATTGTGCTGTCCTAAGCATCAACAGATTAATTCGATCGTACTGTTTTTTCTGTAGTGATTCCCCCTCTGGCGTGGCTGAGTAGAAGCTACGAGCCAAGTATTGTCATGCATCAGCTCCTGAACAGGCAATTTACAGCAGTCATACTCTGCGGTCTCCTTGAGCTGCTGACGAAGGCCCGCAGCTAGTACGTTCAGCCGCCTGAGGAATATTATTTCAACATGCACAAAAAAGAAATGAGGACTAAAACCCACCTTGAGAAGTTTATCGAAGTTTCTGTCACTCTTTTTTGTGAAGCCCTAATTGTGTCGAGCCCTGCAACAATAGTCGTTTGAAGCTGTTTTTGGGAATATGTGAATGAACACATTCGCAAGATGGCATGCGAGCGACGAAGCGAAGAAGGTGGCAGTAGAGCTGAAGAGTGGCATACCCTTCAGGATTGCCGCTTTTTCTCTCGAAAGCTCCAGAATTTTCAAATTGAGCTCCATTTGTCCTGCCTCCTGTGTCATCAAGTGTGCCCGCGCACTAGAATTCCCATGCATGGCCGATTGCAATTCGAGTTTCGCCTGCAAACAGAGGAGCTGGTCCTTCAAAAACTGGCCTTTAGAGCATTTCACGTTGTGAAAGTCTCACAGATTCGCTTGTTCGCCGAAGATTCGCTATTTTCGCGCTGTATGCCACCATTTCGTCCCGCTTATTTGCATGGATGCGAGATAAGGAATCTCTCGACAGAATGGGAGCCTTCATTCTCTGCATGCGTTTCATTAAGTGGTATCAATAAGAATTGCATAAGTATTTCCTTCTTCGCGTTATCCCTAGTTCAAAAGCCGCGTTGCTGTGCTTTTGTTGCTCCTTACTGGTGTCAGTGCATACACCCAGTGTAAGGATACACCAAGAACCACACGAGCGAACTGTTCCTAAATGTGAGGCAATATGCAAGCTTTCATCATTTCAATTAAAGTTCCTAGCGAAGGATTGGCAGGCTCTAGGGCTGGTCGCATTTTGCCATTAGCGTGTGACTTTAGATTTCAGAACACGAAGATGGGTCACACCGTCTCATCGATGGACTAAATGGGAAAGACGCCCCGTTTTCACATTACTAGAAGGTGTTATTTCACTGAGCAACTCTATGCCCCCTCGTCACATCACTTGATGGTTTTTTTTTCCTGAACGCCAGTATGCCCAGTAAAGAGAACGCTCAAGGCGTGCGACAACGGAATGCCTTTCCCCCTCAGCGCGTTAGCTTCACGGCATGACGAAAATTAGTGGTCTGGTATGTTAGAGCCACGCGCTCACGGCAAAATGCAGCCATGCATGCATGCAGTGGCAGTTTGCCCGATGCTCCTTGAAGCTCGGCATTGTTTTCTTTGTTGTGGTACGAAGGCGGTGCCCCCAGCGGAGGCCACGTTTCGCTGTATCACCCCAAGGGAAGTTCCACTGCACTCTTTCCACGAGATTCCTTTGACGGGATGTAGCGGGAGAGCATCAGAGAAACTGCAAAAGCAGAGTTAGCCACCGGAGGCGTAGCCCCGCCACGCAGCGCTGAAACAGCCGCAATAGAGCCTTCATCCAACGCAGCTGCTGCTGTCCATGGATCGCTTCGATTTCAATGTCGTTCGCATCCATGCATTGAAGTCAAATTGCATCTCTAGGCATCGAGCACCTACCGTCGTCTCCTCCGTTGGATCTGACCCAAAATAGCTACCCGGCTAGCTCACAATGTGACTTGAAAGCCACCAAACTAGCTAGCGAGTACGTTCGCAGGCGAGTTCGCTAAGGGGCTCGCAAACAAGCTGCCAGTACACAGGCTCCAGCGACTTCGACTCGCTCGAATACTTCACGCCTCACGCCAAAGCCAGCTGGAAAGACAAGCAATTGTCTCAGAGTAGTGTCACAGCTGTGCTTTTTCTTAAAAAAGCGCACAAGCAGCAGCAGCAGCAGCAGCCGAAACAGCGCCTGCCGCTACAGCAAAACGAAACTGGCTCCTCAAGCCTAAAGAAAAAATAATTTCTGCAGGTTTGTCTTTTCAAGCACAAATTGATTGGCGCTAGGACAAACATGCTGCCACCCTGCAGAGGCAACTGCACGAGCTGAAGACTGCTGCAGCTACAGCAGGAAATTTTGTCCCTTTACGGGGCCCTTTCGGTCACCGTAGGCTCGCGGCAGCCTTACACTTCTCCTGTACAAAAGTGCTACCTGAGCTTCTGCTGCAGCTAAAGCGGCGAAAGGAGCGGGCAGCTCATGGGTTCCGCCTCCTCGGAGGGAATCGCAGCCAACTCGGGCTGGTCCTCGTCGCACCACCTGCGGCACACCGAAAGGCAGCAATGACCGCGTTTGCTGCATCAAGTTCTGCCGCTGCACATGCAACTGCTGTTGCTGCAGTTGTTGCTGCTGTGGCAATTGCTGCTGTTGCTGCTCTTGCTTCAGTTGCTGCCGCCGTGAATGTAGTTGCTGCTATGTGGGAGGGCATCTACGGGTGCGCGCTTACCAATCCCGTGTTTCTTCTCGCCGCAGATCCTGCAACAGGCACTCCAGATTCGCGTAGTGTGCCTGCTGCTGCTGCTGCTGCAGGCGTCGTTGCTTCTGCTTGGAGGCTTCTGCGCTGCGGATTGCAGCAGCCGCAGCTTCTGCTGCTATTGCCTCTGCTGCTGCTGCCTTTTCCCGGACCCTGCAGCTACTTCGCACGCTATTGCTGCAACTGCGGGGAGAGGATGAACCTTCACTTCGACCCTTTTTGTTAGGCGTTGACACCGAGAGCCCCCTTTTCAAGGAGGATCCCCTACTGGGGGTCTTCTTGGCCTTGCTTGCGCTGTTACGGCCGTCATTTTTGATCCCTTCAGGAGCCTTTCTTGCCCCCATGGGTCCCTTGGTCTTCTGTGGGGTTGCGCCTGCAGCAGCTGCTGCAGCAGCTGCTGCAAACCGCCGACTCCTAGGCAGTACTGCCATTGTGGCAGCAGCAAGAGATGCGTTGCTGCGAAGGACCTGAGACACTTGCTCCAGCAGCCGCTTCTGCGCCACAGCAGCGGAAACTGTAGCTGTTGTTGCTCCTGCAGGAGCAGTAAGGCTCGCTAGAGAGCTGGTGCTGCAGACAGACGAAGTTGAGAAGCGGCCTGTGCTGCTGCCCGCACCCCACTGCAACGAAACGGAGCCAATCCAGCAACTGCTGCAGCAGCGCGAGCCGCCACATGCGCACTCCTTACCGGGTGCTGCGCCCCAGTGAGATCCCTGGATTGCCCCTAACAGGTGAGAGGTTGGAGGCCCCTCCCCTTGCTGCTGAGACGGTCGGGGGGTTAGGCCCGTGTGCAGGTCCTGAAGACTGGATAGGCACTGGCTCACGTTGCGGCAGGTGCTGCTGCTGCTGCTCGCCACGTCCTCTCCCTGGGCTGCTGTTGCTGACTGGCTTGCTGCTGCCGCTGCTGGTGGTGAGGGCGGCGGGTCGCTTAAAGGCTCACCGCAGACCCCAAGTAGGCCATCAGCAAGTGTCTCCCCCTCTTCAAGTTGGGGCTGGGTCGTTGCCTGTGTTGCTGCTGCTTCTGCTGCTGCTTTGGGTGCAGCTTTTGCTTCATTTGGTGCTATTTCGGCATCCTCACTTATCAAGGGAGATGGTGGAGAGGAGGCCCAAGGAGCCTCACTAACAACACCTGTTTCGGCCTTGGCTGCCGATATTGCTGTTGCTTCTTTCGCTGGCGCTACCCCCGCTGATGCTTCAGGTGGAGCTGCAACAGGCATAGAAAAATTGCAGGGTTCATGCGCGTCCTGCGTTTCTATGTGCCCCTGCAGAGCCTCAGTGGTCCCCTGGACTCTGGTTTTGGAGCCATCCTTGGGCCGCGACAGGAGCCCAAGAGGGCCCTCATGAGCAGCCCCGCGGGGGAGAACTCTAACTCTCAGGACGCGGGACCCCTTGGGAGCTACGAATGTCGAGTCTAGGGCTCGCGCTTGGCGCTGTTGCTGGTGTGGCCGTCGCCTCAAATTGTTGCGCGGAGTCGACTTAGTCTCCGGCCTGTCTTCATTCAGTGGACCGCATTTGGCTGCGTCCTGAGAATGAGCCCGGTGTCTTTGGGAGACACGGGAGAATGCTGGAGAACGTACATCGACTGAGGGAGGAAGGCTTTGCTTGACAGGTGCAGAGGGACAGTTTCCAGATGCTGTTGCTGTTGCGGCTACCGGCCGAGTTGGTAGATCTCCTGATCTCTCGAAAAGCCCGGAGCGCGCATCACGGAGTCTTGTGCATTTGGTGTGTTGCTGCTGCAGCTGCTGCTGGCGTTGATCCTGTAGCGGCTGTTGCTTTTGCCTGGGCCTCTTGGAAGATGACATGCCGGGGTTCCCTCCTAGAGAAATGCTGGTCCGCTGTTTTTCTCTTCGGGGTGTGTGCCCCTATGATATCTACTGGAAATTAAGACGAGACGAAGGGATGGTACAAAAAAAAAGGAGGAAATTGCCATATGATGCTGATGCAGCTGCTGCTGCGGGCGCCGCCGACAACTTCAAAAATGCTGCGCAGTTCTGGCTGTCTCTCTCAGAGCCCATCATGCAACAAAATACAAAGTGCATTTCGAAGATTAAAGGGAAACACGGAAAATGAGCAGAGGGATCGGCTGCCCGAATCAGATGCCGCTGCCCTGCAGGGTTCGTCGGTCGCAGCCTCAGTTGCTCCAGTAGCGGCGGCAGCGCCGGCAGAGGCTGCGGCTGCTCATGCTGGAGCTGCCTGCTATTTACACTTACTTTGCAACTATGTAATATCATGGAGCTATCAAGTTTATTTTGCGCCAGCTACGTAAAACTGAAGAGAGAGAGCCTGTAGAACGGCAGCAGCGAGACAATGGGGCAAAAGGGGTGTTCTGATTGGCCTGAGGCCAACCAGAACACCTCTTGCTGGTAGTGCTCTTGCTGCATATTTCCTGTCGCAGTCTCCAAGTTAGTCATATGTTCCCCCTATTTATTAACACATGTGATGGTAGAGCGAGAGTAACAGCGCTATGAGGTACTCAACACCGCAACACCGCAAGATGCTGCTTAGAGAGGGTGATGGGGATGGATTCTTTGAAAGAAATGTCTCGGACGCCTCGCCTCTATTGAAGCTACTTGCCAGAATACAGAAAGATGTGATGTTATGTGAAGGATAAAGACAGTAAAGGCCACTAGGCTCGACTAAATACGACGCGGACAGAAATGGGAAGTGGGGAGCTGGAGGAAATTTTGTAGGGAAAATGAGCGCGCAAAAGCCTGTATTCAAGAAACGCCTCCTCTGAAATAACATAGTGAAGACTCCCAGTATCAGAGCAACACTCAATGAGCGGGACTTGGAAGGTACACCGCTTCGTCGAGCGCAAACTCCAACCAAACACTCATACATACCGGAAGGGCATTATTCTTTGAGAAAGGGAGGCAGCAGCGGGCTGATGCGATGGAATTGTTAGGAAAAGGAGTCTTAACTTTTTTATGCATCGGGCATACTCGGCTACACTAAGCCCTTACTAGAACGATGCCACGTCAACTGCCTTTACTGTTTGCCAAGTGCCTTCAGGCAACACGTTTGTCTCTCGTAAAGCACAAAAGGCGCTATTTGAACGCTTCCACGCTTTTGCCCGCTGTCCACACCGACAGCAATTCCACTGGATCGATACGGGCGACTCGCGCTCTGCCCGCAGCTCATTGCGGGCCTCCACTAGCGTAGAAGCCTTTTGAGGCCCACAACGTACCTGGGACTCTCCAAAGCTTTCACGATTTAACCGAAGAGTCACTGGGGTCGACAGTCGCAATCACAGATACAAACGAGCATCCCCGTGGCTTTTTTTTTGAATTTCAGTGGTCACCTGTGACTTGCCGCTCTGTCGTGGACGCGAAGTCTCAGAATATCCATACAGCCGTCATACTGTAGGACGTCTCGAACAGCAGTCCAGCTCCATAAATTAGTTACATTCAAATCTTTTAATGATGCTTCGCTGTTAAACCAAGACAATATTTCCTGCGTCATGCTGCGTGGGATTACTTTCAAAAATCTCCTGTTATTTTCCAGCATAAGCTACATAATGGAGTGCAATCTAGCAAGTGACATAACCACTGCTTGCACACATTAAAGGAAGGAAGCTCACCTAAAGAAACCCGCACACACAAAATGGCATTGCATCCGTACAGTAGAAGGAAGGGCGAAACTGCCGTTGACATCTGAATCGCGATGTTGCGGACTGTTGCCAGAGCGGGAAGAAGAGGGCTGCTTTTATGTTTGTAGCCCATCGTAGGGGTATGCCTTCCCTTTCTGGCTTTTGCATAGAGCTTCGTACCACTGTCTCCGTTGGTTTGTACTGCAAATTTTGGCTGCACCTAAAACTTCGCAGCCCCCGGAGGCTCTGGCTTCAAAAAATGAAGATGTGCCCGGGAGCCTGTGGCTTTCAAAAATGAAAAGAATGCCGGTACGCCCATGGCTGGGCATCAACATATTTACTGGCTTCCCGTTGCTCCATTCTAAAAGGTTTTCTTCAGACCGTGAATCAGTCTGATAAGACCAACCTCTAGCGCGCTTGGCTATAGTAGGCAGGGGTCAGAAGAAAACTACGACTAAGACGTTTCCTTGTCATCCTTTCAGCAGTCCGGACATACTTTGACAGCGCTTCTCGCTGACTTTCCTTATGCCTGTAATATGGGATTTTCTTTGGAAGAAAAAGTCTGGAGTATGCAGAACCCCTTGGACCCGCGGTAAGACCCTGAGCAGCTTTAATTCCCCTTCTTTCCATAGGAGTTCGGGCTGTACTTCAACCCCGTTGAGGCTTGGCTCTGCAGCACCACTCCCGCTCAGCGTGCCGCACTGCCTAGCTGCTACCTGTAATACTGCAACAGCTCCAACAGCTCCAGCTACCGCTGCAGCAAGTTGCATAGCATCACTATGCTCAACTTGTTCGCTTCACCCTGCTGCACTCGCAGCTTCCGTGGCACTGCATCTGCGACTACACTCTAACCGACTGCAAGACACGGAGCCACCTTCGCCAATGATACAGCTATCACCGCACAAGCGTTTGGTCGCTTCGGCGTACCAAATAATTTGGAATGATGCCCAGCAGCCGCCCACCTCTGCCGGCAGTACAGCAGCAGAGCGGAACTGCTGCAAAGTGGAGTGCTGCGAGCCACTTTTTGCTTCAGCAGCAGCATCAACAAACCAGCCGCAAGCAGAGGCAGCAGCAACGCAACCACTGATGCAGCACAGGAAGATGCGGCGCATATGAAGAGAAGCAAGTGGCAGCAAACCGAATCGCGCAAGGCACGGAAATTCGGACTGCTGCAGCACCAGCTGATGCACACGCAAGTACGCACGCGCTCAGTAAACAGCAAAAGCACAGCAGCCGAACAAAAATCATCCGCATTGTTGTTACTGTTGCCATACAGTGCACAAACGGACAGCATAAATCCCTCTTACGCTACTGCGTGCTGCAGCAAACGCGAGCAGCTCGGTGCCTGTACACCTTCTAGTGACTACCATATGATTTTGCAGCGCCTCCATTGTTGTGCGCAGCAGTAGAGGGCCGCGCAGTTCAGAACCTACTGCTACGAACTGCGGAGGCCACATTGCCAGAGCTGTCTGCTCCTCAACGTACCTTTCGGCAAAATATTCCTACAGAAAAAATCAATTTTGCTGGAGCAACATGGAGCAAGTGATGCAAAGCTCTTCAGCGACATTTTTATCAAGCGTCCCTCGCCTGCTGAAAGCAGTTTTGATGTTTCAGTAATGACGGGCAAGCCCCATATGTAGTGAACAGATCCTCTAGTTCAATGGTGACTATGTCGTTTTCCGTCGCCGTCTGAGCTGCTGCTGGGACATCTGCCCGTGTCACCTCTGCAGGCCCCTTGGAGCCGAAGGCGACTGGCAATGGTGACCCTTCAACAACATCCTCTGTCACTGCTGTAGCGCCATGTGCTTTGTGAGCCGGGCTACTTCTCGCCTGTTTCACGGGTGAGCTCGCAAGTGAGCCATTTCTTGCTGCCACGCTAGACCTGCGGCGCTTGCTACCGCTTCGTCTGTCACCAGGAGCCGTAGGGGAGCCCGTGCGGCGTTGCTTCTCTTCAGTCGGCGGAGCTTCTTGAGGGCTTCCGAGAGAGGCGGTGGAAGTAGAGGAAGTCGCATTGATCGGTGTTGCCTCCTGAGGAACTTTCCGTGTCAGTGCTGCAGCTCTTGTACGCGCAGTTGCAGAAAGAACCATGCAGCTCAGTGCGTGTGCTAACTTTGACTCAATGTGAGATGCCACTTCTCGTAGAGCGTCTTCTTCAAACATAAGCAGCTCATCAGGCGGCACGCACTCCGCCACGCCGCCTGAATCCTCGAAAAGAATGGGCAAAAACTGCTCGCCCGAGGTGCCAAAACAATACTCGTAGGGTAATTCTGGCCGCTGAAACAGACTAAACCCATGGTCACCACCCATCCCTTCACCAGTTTGCGGGGTCTTCGGCGAAACTGCCGGCAGCGGCGCTTGTGTCGAATACAAAGGCGGTGAGAGCGTCAAAAATTTTAGCCTGTTCAACAGTAACCAACATCATCATGGGAGAAGGCCTCCTACGGCCCTGCTGACACGTGTAGCTAACGTGAAGAATTAGCACTGCAGCTCCAAAAAACCCGTGCGCAAGTTATCCCGGAGTGTGCTTGTACGCTCACTGACGCTGCCAGCACGTTCTCTGGCACACTTCAACACTAGGCATTCACTCATTCATACCCTCATGGCTTTAGCTATCGAGGAGACAATGCTTACGTTAAACACGGTTACTATAAAAGGCACGTGCGCACGAGCGAATTCGCCAGTAGCAGCTTACCACAAATTCATCGGGTTAACGATACAGTTTGCATGGCGAGGAGGAGGACGCGCATGCGCCTCTCCTGTTCGATTCCTCTGCTCTCGAATGCCACAGCACAAATCAAAACTAACAAATGAGCAAAGGAACGCGAATAGGAGCAAAATTCATCAAGCATATGGACTGTGAAGTGTGCTTACGGCTAGTGAGAGCGCGAAAAAGGGCCAATAGGCACCCACTACATGAGTAGCGCAAAACTTTAGAAACATTACTTGGAGAGCTGGGTGGGCAAACTACAAGGGTGTGAAAAGTGTCACACCAAGTCAACAATCCGAGGGAAACGGGGCTGCCAGAGATAAGCCTGCATTTCTTGTTCGTCTAGAGCGAGGAAATGCAAGACGTTGCGCCGGTCTGCTTGCAGCCGAAGAGCCCCCAGGTAGTCCTTGAGAAAACAAACAGGAACTTGCTTAAAAAGTCCTGTCAAGTGAAGTCAACACTGCCGCCGAAAGCATGAAATGGCAGCTACTGATTTGCCATAAACGAGCTCTCGCCACATGAGCAAATGCGGCGCGTTCTATGGCAATCAACTGCAATGCTATGAAAGACAAGTAATGGTGTAGAGTGAACAATGACAAAGACCAAGAAAATAAAACATAAGCATTGGGAGACGCATGCGTACTGCTCTGTCAATGAGTCCTTCAACGGTTTTAAACTGTTCCGTAAGTTTCTTCTTTTCTACAAGCTCCATTACTTCAGGTGGGGGAGAAAGTTGCAACCAAGAGGAACTGCAGGCCGCAGCCCCTAACCACCATGACGGGCTCATCTGCTCGCGATACTCTGTGTGAAACGAATTCGTTCCCAGCAACCCGCCAAGATTCAACTGAGGTCGAGGCGCAGGCGTACTAACCCTGCGAGCGACGGTTGACCGGGATGAAGGCGTGCCTGAGCTGCTGCTGCGCCCGGTCGTGCAGCCGCGACCCCCAGGTGCGCTGGCACTGCTGCTGACTGTGCTGCTCCCAGCGCTACCGCAACCTCGTCTCAGCCCAACTCCTGCACACAAAAGCAGGAAAATATGCTCGTGGTTCAGCAGCCTCTCGAACGACGGGGCGGCTGAGGGCGTGATCTCTGCCTGGTCAAGGTGCAAAATTGAGAGATGCGCTCTTGAACAGTTCTGGCCTTCCACCCGCTACCAACTGGGCTAGCGTGAAAGAAGCAGAGTAGCTAAAATAGCTGCTCTCACGGGAGGTGCGAGGCGTATCAGTCGGGCCCTTATTTTTCTCTAGCGCACCTGCTCTGCTGTCCAGCGAGAGTCCGTAGTCTGGCATGTTGCGAGAAGGAACAGGCTTTGGGGGTGTCTTTGGCATTGCAGATAGCCCCAGCATTCCCATTTGGGAAGGAGGCAGTCCATCTGTGAGCTTCATTCTGGGGAAGCACTAGGCCCTGAAGATGTGATGAACGGCTGTAACTCTAAGGCGGGACGCTACAAAGCGCCCTGGTGCCCCCAAAGTTAAGCTACTACGGCAATGTTAAAAACGCTGAATAATTCTCCGCAAGAATGCGAAGAGGCTTCCAAATGAATAAACCTGAGTCGGTGTTGGTGAGGACGCTGGAAGCTGCTGGGTCTGCGTACTGCTGACTTACACATGCGCAACACAGCCGCTCCCATACAGCTGCATTAACAAAACATTCACAAAGGTTGAATTAAAGTTAAAAATATAGTTGAGGCACACGAAGTACAGTTAACAGTATGAGATATTAGGAGCTAACTCTCCGTCCACCATTCGCGACCTCGGACTCAACCAACGACAACGGCAGCCCCAATGATGTCTGTACCTTTACTTTGACGACCAAGCCTGGCTTTGCACTAGTCCATTTCGAGTTCTCGTCTGTCTTGATGAGTAACAAACCGAGAAGTCCATGTTACTATGTCGAAGTGTAGCCCTGTTGCTCGGTAGGACTATGCAGCATTTATTGGCTCGCTGCGCTGAACCGTATTGCAGATGATTCGAATCTTCCATCTCTTTTCGAGGTGACTCGCTACTGTGCAACTCCTCGGGAGGCTTCAAGACATTTTACCTGCGACCCGCGGAGGACAACAGAGCAGCTTGTTTGTGAACACGCCAGCCTCCGAACTCCGCAGTTACACTGTGTTTCGCACGTGGTTATTCATTCCTTGGTTGTGAATCTGGCACGTTTTTCGCATCCAGTAATGAGACATGGAGCAGTCAAGTGATTCTGTACGTTCTCTGGCGAGAGCTTCCCATGTCTGCGAGTGCTGCTCCAGACCGGTTGTAATCATGATGGACACAGATTCCCCCCCAGCGGACACGGCTTCTGCTCAGAAAAGTAGGCAACTGGGAACGGAAGATTCACTTGCGGGAGGCGAATATGACTTGTTGCGCGCGGCTGTGCATGCGGAAGACGCTTATGCGCCCAATTCCTCCAGTCGGGATGCGCCTGTCGTGCTGCCCTCTACACGAGATGGGCTATGTGTCCAGTTGGAACCTCACACGTTTTCAAAGAAAGACGGTGTCAGCTGCATTTCCAGCTCATGTTCGCCTTCGTTGCTTACAAAGCGTGCAGATGGCAAGGCATTTGACGTTTCTGGAATAGATGGCGCAGAGGGTTCTAAAGTGCTGTATCCTCTTTGCTCGGCTTGCCTAGAGAGCGCCATCGCTGAAGTAGAGCCAGCCTGCGCTCACGAAAGATACCTCATCCGCAAGTATGAGAGGGCTTTAAAAAGGCTGGAGCGGAGCCTCCAGGTGCGCCGTGATGACGTCTACTCGTCTTCGTTTGACAGTGCAAGCACTATGGCGGAACTACAGAAGTTAGAAGAAGAAGAAAAACAGCTCGAGGCAGAAATTATTTCTCTTGAAGCATCCACAGCGGAGAAAGAAGAGCAGCAGCGGGCGGTCATGGCAGAGTTGGTTGAGCTCCATATGTGGCACGTGGAGTTCTGGTTGCTCTTTTCGAACCATTTGCTGCGCGTGATTCGTCATGAGGAAGTCAGCCGCCTTCGTCTTTTCTTAATTTGTCTTGTTTGCTGTGACAAATTTCTAAAGGGGCATTGTAGCTAATAGTAGGTAATGGAGGCAGAAGCGGCATGTCGCATTTGCTTTTAAGCTTACTGAAACTGAATCATATCCACTAGGTGCCGTTTCTTTGGGATCTGGAGAAGAGCAGTCGTTCCACTTTGATGTGAAATGCGTTGGTCACGGCAAGATTCACTGTTCGTTCACTTTCATCGTGAAATTGGCATTTCCTTCCCTGTTGTTCCTCTGCATGTAACCTCTCAGCGGAAGCGAGCCATGGAGCGGCTCTTTGTCTACGTTGGCCGGGAGCTCCAGCGACTGAAGCGCATCAACGTGGTGAACGATGCCTTCCATATCTGGACCTGCAAATTTTTGCCCTCCATTAACAAGTGCAGAATAGGTGGGGGCGGGACACGCTGGCACAGACACAAAGTAGCAAGAAATCCCATCCAGTTTGGGTTTGCACCTCTTGTTTATGCAGATGTTGGTAATCGTGGCAGCAGATGGGGAAAAAATTGCGTTGCGCTGGTTGGTTTTGCCATCAGGGCGGATCTCTTCTCCTTCTTGCCCCTCGTGGTCTGAGGTGAACACTGGCTGGGGCTATCTCTGCATGCTGCTAGACGTTTTCTACCGGAAATGTCATACTCAGCCATCCAACTACCGACTAGTGGCGAGGGGGCAATTTTCGTTCTTGATTAGGTAACTGCTGCTTGCTGGTTTCCTTCTTTGTGTTGGCTTATCAAAAGGAAACTGCATATTACCATGTCACACAGCAGTGGGTTCTCATGAATGATATTATATACTACCTTTGGCATGCATAGGGACAGTGAACATCGTCTAGCGATCATTTGTATTCATGTGTATTTAATCGCAACTGTGACTGTGCGTTGTTGCGGCTAGAAAGAAAGATGGTGCCGTCCTCCCACTTCACGGTGGCGGTGGGGAAGTCGGGCTCAGCCGTTTCTTTTACAGCAATAAAAGGTTCGACTCTGCGATGACCGCATTTTTAGAATGCGTTAAAGAAGTAAGCGATGCCCTGTATGCGATCTTTTAGCTACTTTGGTCACAAGAAGAGGAGGATTCTGATGGCCTCGCGCGCCCGCTTCTGTTTGCAAACAATGTGCCTTCGCAGCTGTTCGACCAACTTGTCACTTCGGCGGAAGAGCGGGGAAGACAGCAAGGTGCCGCGTCTTTATTGCCTTTTCCAGAGCTTCCTTACGAAATAGATGGTATATTAACATGCTGAGACCCTCTTCATGAGACAATTCGAAAGTTCATAGCGTAGAGACACCGAATTGGATTAGGTTTTTCAACTCAAAAAACTCTTGAAGCGCTTCTGTGGACTTTTGCGGGCAGGTGATAGGGTGGGTGGTTTCAGCATCCGCTTGCAGCTGAACCAGGATGAGAGGTGGACAAAAGCCCTTAAGCTTCTTCTTATAGATATGAAGTGGCTGCTGGAATACATCGAACGTAAGGCAGCATCGACGCCGCATGCAGCAGTAGCGATAAGCAGAGCAATGGCTTGCTTAGACAGACAAGCCAGCAGCGATAGAACTGGACTGTATGGTCCACAGGCGCCATATCTAACTTGCTGGTTTTCCTTTCCCAGGTGTATGCTTGGTGGCGGGCTCTGCACCGTGAACAGAGGAGTACGACTACCGGCTGGAGTTAGTTGTTCGTGCCACCAGATTAATCGCATTTCCGAATCTAGCTTAAGTCAGGTATTCATCTGGAGAGGGCGGAGCTTGTCCTGACAACACTGACGAGCAAAGTTGCTGCCCGGCCTCGTATCTGCAGCGCAGCCAGCTCGAGGCATGGACAATGCGGGGAATGGATGGAGCGAGGGGACGCACACCTGCACACAGCCCCTTAATCAATAATTAAGCTAAAAATTGACCCGTCAAGATAAAGAGCAATCAGATGGAACCGCATTGGCTCCTCGGCATTGGGCCGACGCAAGCTTCCCGCTTGATGGCCCAGCAATTGCGGGGATTGTGGTGAATTACTGTATTGCAAGCCCCATCTCTTGCGATCCCTGCTGACGTGATTTTTCCATGGATTATTCAATGCAGCTACTTGCGTTGCGCTGCTGCCTAGAGTGGTGCACGTTGGTTTTGACGATAGCCCCGATACATTCCGCAACTCACTAATTAGGATTAAAGCAGCACTGAGTTTTGTTCTGGGCTGGGCGGTACGCAGGCCGTAAAGTGTAGCTATTTCCTGGAGCTTATCTCCGTCCACAAAGCAGACGCAGCAGTAACGGAAACGACGTTGCAGCGGGAAAGTGTTGCACAGCGGAGCAGTTGCACAGCGGAGCAGATAAATTACAGTGCCTATTAGTTTCGTCACCGGAAGTTGCCGCTCGCTGCCTAGCGAGCAGCGTGGATGTGAAAAGCCGAAGCAGAGTTCCGGCGAGAAGACTAAACGCAAGACTAGACATCTCTTCAGCTTTCCTCTAAAGTAATATGCTTGCCATCCATGCAGTTAACGTCCTACTTCACACAGGGATCTCCGCAGCTTTCCTCTGAAGTGAGATGTACGTCATCCATGCAGTTAACGTCCTACTTCACACTGGGGGACGGTTAGAAATCCACCAAGCAAAGGAGGATTCCACGTTCCTTTCCTACCAGTATGGCAGCCTTCCGCAGTATGGCATATCAAGAAGTCCATCAAACCGTACCACGGCTTTAGAGGCTGCATGCGCAGCTGCTTATCCTGCCGCAAAGTCGCTTTACGAGCCAAGTAGAGTGGCGGCACTCAATATCGTACTTTGAGGAACGCTTCAAAGATGTGTAGCTGCACTGCTTATCTCCGCAGGAAAAATGTCCAGTTGCTCAAGCTCTTTTGCGCGTGATTAGTTTAGACCTTCGCGAACTGGACGATAGGTACGGGGCTCTTGTCAGCCGTGAATGCCACCCGCACAACAGTTGCCACCGTTTTGATTTGTGTACTGGTAGAGCAGTTGTCCAGTAGCAACGCCACCAACAACGGCCAAAAACAACCCCGCATTAAATGTCATGCATACCAGCATCATAGCCCAGTCTATTGAAACGAAGATAAACATCAGCAACCTGAAACACACCACAGCACAGTGCCACAGAAACCCGACAGCAAGCTAACGGTGCAGCTTCTAGCTGATCGGGAACTTTCTATGCAGGACGCGAAGGCACTGACTTTCATAAAAGTGCAACTATATCTAAAGGCAGAAATTTAAAAATCAATACGAAGGTGGGTGCAACATTACCACCGAATGAAAGGCTTAGCCCTCAACCAACGCTGGCTTCTGTCGGTCTGGCCTGGCAGGCAAAACGGAGACACAGGAGGAGGCATTCCCGTCATTTTTATCTTTTACCACTATTGTTAGGGAGCGGTGGCTGCTTACTTTGTTG